TTATAGGAAAGTATTAACTCTACTACACTCCAGTAGAGCCAGCTGTTGGCCTCTTTAGTTTATAACTGCTTGTTAAAGTAGAAGGAACTTTGCACATGGAGAATGGTGACTGAAGTGTGAAAAGGGATGTGAGCTAGGGTGTGCACATGGCAGTGAGATGGTGAAAGTAGAGCCTGGTAAGAGCCATGGGCCCACTCTACTCATTGCACCTGGAAATTAGTGGTCATGCTGGTGCTGGGAGGAAATAGGTGTGAGAAGGAAGCATTTGGAATTCATTCACATGCTCTCCAGTGTCTTATTTTGACCTCTATAGCATCTGTGCAGAGAGCTCTTTCTAACTACTAAAAAGCAAAGCTCTTGCTTTTTGGAGTGCATTGGCTCAGCTGGCACAATTTCAAAGGTGACTTCGCAGTTTTTCTTCATTTTATAGCATGTAGTGATAGCTATCTCAACAGAAACAGAAAAGGCTTTCAAGATGGTGTAGATGAAATGTGCTTTCTGGAGAAGAGGCTGGGTACAAGCCCCTGCTGTGCATGCTTCTCTTTCTGTTGCCCGTGTGCTCCCATGTGCTTTGTACACATCCTGAGTGTGCAGACAAGAGTGTGAGGGTTGTTTGAATAAAGAAATTAAACGTGTCCATAAGCCTCTGGTGAGTCGGTCTGGGAATGTGTGAAGCTGCATTTCTGTGACAAACTGTGGGATTTTTTCAGCAGACAGGGCCTGGTACAAAGACATTTTGCTAGTTTAGATTCACTGACCGGAAATAAACCTGGCAATTATTTTTTTTCTTTCTGTCTGTCATCTCCTGAAGTAGATCACTCAGACCTCCTCCCATTAGAAGTAGCCAAGCCTGCTCCAGTTGTCCTGTCTGCTTCTCTACCTCTCACCTGAAGCTGTCACCAGCTGCCCTCCCTCTATTCCCAATTCACTGGTTCAGGCAGTTGATTCTAGAGCTCTCAGTGGAGGTAGAGCAATCAACATTTAAAGTCCTTTTATATACTGACACCAGAATTATTCAGACAGAAGACAAGATACCAAGTCTTGGAAGCCAGAGGACAAAAGAGGGAAAAAAAAAAGCCAGATACAGCAAAGGTATGTGGTTTCTTTGTCACGTTACTTTATGTAACTTCACATAACTGTTGCCATAGGAACATTATGCAGGGTACACTTCTGGTTTGGCTTTATGGTGTTCTCCATGTACCAAAATACTATTGAAGTATTTAGTAAAACATTAACCTTGCCCCTTTTTTTTTTTTTCCTTAGCACCAGACAGAGTAGAAAGCTACTGCTGAGCTTCCAACCTGTTGACTGGTTTTTGAAGCTTTTAACTTCAAAGAAGAAAGCCTTCTGCATTCTTGTCTAGGCAGGTGAAGTACCAAGTTATTATCTTCTCTGAGTCACACTGACAGCACCTGCTCACTTACCCCGAAAGGAAGAGCCCATTTCTGGAGTATCAAACACCCGGAACACAGTCAATTCACAGAACATATTGCATGTTAAATAACTCAAGTAAAACTCCACTTTAACTTTGCTGTATTTATATACTATATAAATTGTACATGCTATATATTTACAGTGGGGCAAGTGCTTTTTATCTTTAAAAAAACAAAGATCAAACTTTAGACATCTCTGAACAACACAGCTTGTATAAACCAGACAGATTATTCAGATGAACTGTATTTAATACAGGTTCCCCACTCGTCTCCTGATGCAGGACCAGTGAATAATAAGTGCATCACAGTTTGATAGCATTTAATAATAAAAATAAAAATCACAGTATGAATTTGTCTGTAACTAGACACTTCTGAGAGACAAAACAGACAACTGAGACTTAAGACAAGTGACAGTATATTAAGAAAATGTAATAGAAACATATGGAAGAGTATACAAATAGTCTGGAGAGATACATTCAGAACTGCATATTCGTTGTTTCACGATGTTGAAAACCAGAAGTTTTTCCTCAGATCTTGAATACAACTCAAATGTGGAGTAAATTAGTTTCTAGTGTCGGACATCACAGAAAAAAGATGAAGCTCTTGTAGTTATTTGAGAGCTTGTGAAATTTTAAATAAGTCTTTAAGTTAAATATACAGGCTGGCAGTCGCAAGTTTTGTAATTCCTGGTCGTTCTTGCAGCAGATGTCTAACTTGGAGTAACATTACATGAATAACACAAAGTCAACCTGAGTCTGTAATTAAGCAGCATTTGAGATGGTCTGTTCCAGGGCATTATCTCACATCGGTGAGATATTTACGTGGTCATTTACAATGTTCAGCAGTTGTAAAAAGTTTCCACCCTTTTGAACTAGAAGTATATTTTAAAAAAGAAAGTCTCAAGTTAAAAACTAAAAAAAAAAAAAAAAAAAAAAAAAAGTTCTTCCATGGTAAAATTCTGTACAGAAATGTTAAGCACCACTTATGACTGGATTTTGTCTTGATGGTAATTGCTTTGATAATCAATTTTGACGGTCAGTATTGGTCATGTTGCGTTTGATGGTAAGAAGTGTTGCCGGGTTTGATGATGAAGGTGTCGCCGGGTTTGATGGTAGGTTTAGTTTTGCAGTGTTGGTTTAGTATTGAAGGCTCCCATCGGTACGCTCCACATCTGAAAAACAAAAGGGAACAACGTCACTCCCTGTCGTGACATTCAACAGAAAACTGTCTCAGAGGTTGGGTTCCTGAAAGAGAAGTCTCAAAGCTGCACAGTGCTCCCTCTGCCCTGTCATTACAGGAGCCAACTGACTTGAGAAGGCACCTTCTTCACATTTAAACCAATTGTGTTTCACTTCTATGCTAAGATGGATGAACTGTACAGAGTATTAGGACAAAGCTACCTGCTTTAATAGCAAATAGGAGACCTTAGGTAAACTTGATTTAATTGGGAGCTCTGCCTAGACAGCATCCTTGTCTTACTAACAATCTTGTGGACCAGCTGACCAAATCTTACCCACAAAACAAGAAGCCTTCAGAAACTTGCTGGAGAGAACATGCAGGAACATAGGAAAAAAACCTGCTTTTAAAGCTGCCCCTTCTCCCATCCTGTCTGGGTTGTTCTTAAGTCACAAGTCAGCATGAACCATTTTCACCCTTAGTAATTTATTCAAAGCAACATGCAAGGTTGTGCTTTTTCACCAGCCTTAACAATTCCTTCTCAGTTGTTCCTTGACTGTCCCTAACAGGTTTGAGGTTCAATACCCTCCCAAAATACACTGCCAAAGTGGCTTTGTTTGAGGTTAGAGTCCATCATTCAGAAACTCCTGCTTGAGCCCTGTTTGTTTTTGAAAAGACTGACCTGCCACAAGATGAAGCTAATTAACGTCTGTGGACCTGAAGAATACTCAAGATCCTGAGACTTAGAAAACCTGCCTTCACAGCCCTCCCATCCCACTTGTGCTGCAAGCAGTGTATCGAAGCCAGGCACTGTTGTACCAACCTGTGAACATCTCTTTCACCTACAGGGCCCAGTAATCTTTTGGTCCCTGACTTGGGTAATAAGATGCAAGACCTTTAATTTCTTACTACAATTTTGACTGCTTTAGAAACAAGCAAGTTTGCCATCTGCTGGATGAAGAATTTCCTAAAGCCAAAAGACTATTAGAGCAGATGCATTTTCTTCTATTTGATTCCTAATTTATCAGCTCAAACAGAGACACTTTTAGTGCAAGAAGGATTATTTGGAGTTGTGTGATAAAAAGAAAACCAACTCTGCTTTTACAAGAATAGTATTTCAAAGACTTCAATGCAGCTTCTTCAATTTTCCTTGTTAAAGAGATAAATATATTCAATTTTACAAGAAGAATGGGCAAACTATCATCTTTTCCTTCATACTATACTTTCAGAACAAAACTTTTTGGTCGTCTTGTGTCATAAAATAGTTATTTTTCCACTACTGTGCTTCCTCTTTGCCTTAAGCAAACTTCTTACTGCAATAAGCTACTCATTATGGCAATTTACCTCAGTGTGAAAAACACATGAAATTTTTGAAAATTAAGATCTCTTGCACAATTAAACCTCCCCAAACCATGAAATGCATTGAGCTGCAACGCAAAAAGATTAATTCTTTGGTTTTCTATGCCAGAATGACATTTTCAACATTAGGCTGTGGATGAAGAGCATTGTCACTGACAATCTTAAATTGTAGGTAGGTGTGAAATGTAGAAAATTTAAAAATAAAACTTGCTTCTGGACACTGAGCTGAGCTGCTTCTTCAGGGATTACTTCAGCTAGCTGTAAGGGTAAAATACAGCACGTGGGGTGTTGTTTGTTTATTTAACTATCTAAGTGGGACAGGCTTTTTGTCAGATAAGGGACATTTAGGGAGGTTTTATTTGTACAACAAACTTCTATTCAGAAAAATGTCAACATCTGTGATCAGTTTCCCATTAATTTGTTGCAGTGTGCCATCTTCTTCACTGTGTAATTCTAGAGATGGTGAAATGAAACTATATTTTCTCATGAGAGCCCAAGTGAGAACTATGACAAGAAACAGCAGAGTTCACTATAAATTCAGGTAGCTACTCAGGTTTGTATTTATTTTTTTATAAGAAGCACCAAACTGACCTTCTTTAATACTGAAAATTGGGAAAGAGATGTTTCATCAGCCCACTTCTCCCTATTTTTTTAAGCCTATACTAACAGAGGAAAAAAAAAAAAAAACCAACACAATAAAGCACTTGCAGGAATTTAACAAACTCTCCAGGCGTTAAATTACAAAGTGTCCTCTGAAGGGTTAACAATTGTGCTTTGTGTAAAGCAGATCTACACCTGAAACAATAACAGTTCAATATTATCACCAATTTACATTACACTGAATAAGCAGTCAGCACTGTTTCTGTGTTACAGAAGAGCTGAACATTGGCTTTTATTTAAATCCAACGCTGACTGTTTGGAAGCCATGATATAAAGCTGAGCTTTCACCACGTGAGCATTTAAAGATTTTTTTAAAATAAGAATGTCTGTGTGAATAAAAGGGAGTCCTGCAAACATCCTGTGGCCCCTTACCTCTAACATACTCATTAGATGTGATGGAGCTGTAGTTCTTGCTTTCACCTGCACCACAGGGCTTCTCTTCCTTGGAGGGTTGTTTACTGCCCTGGCTTCTGTATTGCTCACATAAATAGCCAGCTGGAGGACAGGATTCTTCCTTCTCCTCCTGTGTTTTCTTCTGGAAATGAGGATCTAGATGTTCCAAGAAGCCCTTCAGTTTCCTGATGTCTTTCTTCTTTTTCTTCTTTTTCTTATGTTTGCGATTGTCATTGTCGAAGTGGAGCACAGAGACATCCAAATCATAATGTCTGAAGGAAACATAGAAGTTAAAAATAGAAGAACAGGCGTGACACTGGAGGCAAACAAGAAATGTTATTTATTTTACCCCAGCTGATGACTTCCAGTGTGTCAACCATTTTGTGGTAGTTTCTGCCCATCTAATTTACCGTAGATGTAGCAAACTTAAGCCCTCAGATTGAAGGGCAGCATGCCATGGTTTGTACACAAATCATTAATAGGGGCTACTTATGGAGCAGGCAGAATTAAAATTAAAATTTGTTGTAGCCTAATGAAGAATGGAGTGTGGATGGGACTCTGTGCTCCAGTGTAACACAATTCAGCGGCCTCTTTCCCGTCTTCCCTTGACTGACCTAATGACATGACTCCCCACCAGATTCTGCTACACAAATAACTTAGAAACAATGGAGAAAAGGCAGATGTGAGTAACACCCAGAAAAGAATTAGGAAAAAGCTGTCAATTATCCTGGAACCCTTGCTTACTTGTACTCTTTCTCTCGATGCTTGTCCTTGGACTTCTTTTTCTTCTTGACCTTCTTATATTTTTTTGTTCTTTGGTCATCTATCTTTCGGCATTTCTTTTCCATTTCGCTTCCACTGCTTTCTTGGTGGGTGTGTTTTCTTTTGCTGTTTCTTCGCTTTTCTTTGTCATTTTCCCGGGAAGAGTCCTCCACATTTGCATGAGCTGACACAGGTGGAAGCATGTGCCTTTCACGAGAATACTTTTCAGACTGCTGCGGAGGTACTGAACAATGATGCAAGTTTACTCTGTAGGTGCTAAAGTGGTGTACATCAGTGAGTGTGTTGTGAGGCCATCTGCTTTTGCAGTGATAATCCTTATATGACCTGTTGTTGTAAGCTTGACTTGATTTGTCAAAGTCTTTATCACAATGAGAGGACTTTCTCTCTCTACCATCTCTTGTTCCTTGAGAGAAATAATAATCATTGTAGTATCTGCCTTTATCCCATCTCTGTGGTTCATCTTGATAGTATCTTTCTCTGCTCCAAGTTCTCTCTCCTTTGGAATGATAATACCTATTCCTGTCTTGGTCTGTTCTTTCTCTGCTTCGTGATCTGTAACGAAAATATTTTCCTGAGCTTTTCCGATTATTTGGACTCCTTCTTTCATTATGGGAAGATCTGTAGTTGCTTTCATTGCAATACTCCTGCTTATGACGATTTTGCTTATTTGTTTCCACGCTTCGAGAGCGCCTCCTCTTGTAGGAGTGTTCATCTGGTTTGCTTCTGGTTTGCTTCTCCTTCTCTTCAGTGTCTGAGCTTTCTCTCTTCCTTCGGTAGTGCTCTTTGTCAGTTTTTTTAGAGTCGTATAGTCTTCTCTTGTCTTTTTTCCTATGTTTATCTTCTTCACATTTTTTATTACTCAGTCCATCATTTTCTCTAGAAAATTGACTCTCCAAAACTTTATCCAGCTTTGTAATAGAAGAGTCATTAACAGGTGGTACCTCTACATAGTTATTAGAAATGTCCTTTCTATCTTGGCATTTATCTGTAATATCTAGCAAGAAAAGTTTTTTAGAACTACATTCAATGTCAGACTTTATAAAGGAAGTTTGCCCTAATTTCTCTTCACTCTCGAAAGAACTTTTGACAAACAAAGGATTTTCTTTTGAAATGAGTTCAGGTTCTTTTGCTCTTCTTGGTTTGTCTTTGTCTCTGTCTTCAGACTCAACCTTCCCAAGGAATTCATCTTCAGCATCTAAGGATTTTTTCCTGACCTTGTGCTGACTGTTGATATTAGGATGTGCATTATCAGCTTTTTTTATAATACTGTCAGTAACTTCTTCTTTGGTAGAAATGTTTTCAGAATCCGATTGAGCAAAAACATTCTCAACCTCATAGCTAAAGTTGGCAGGAGCCTTCCTGGATTCTTCGTAGGCAAACAGTGCTTCTCCCATCACTACAGTTTCCCTAAGAGCATCATTCTCAGATGATTTCTGAGGTCCAGGGACACTGCACAAAATAAAAGCATGTTTTTCACTTCAAACTTCCATCTAAAAGATGAATGTTAGGAGTAACATCCACTTCAGTGTTAAAAAAAAAAAAAAAAAAAGGGGGCTACTGGAAAGCTCTGAAAGACACTCCCTTTAGAAACCCATTTCTACACTTTCCTAAGCTCTCAGGTGTTTTTCTTCTCTTGACTCTACAAGTATTGCATCAAAAAAACCTCACCCAACAAATCCATCTCCTTCCACTTGCTGCTCTGAATCACATCACCAACCAAAACCACTACATTTGCTCTCCCTCCAACATGAAAAAAGTAAAAACATGGATTTCCCTCTCTCTCCAAAACGAAAGAGCAGATGGTGGGAATTTCCATTCACACATCCTAGGATGGAGAAAAAAAAAGGGAATAAGGAAGAGAAAAAGTATTCCAGAAAATGGAAAAAACACCCCAAAACCAAAAACCCCCAACGCATTCTATGAGGAAACAAAAG